ACCGCATATCAGTCCGTAGATATCTCCCAGTTTGTCATCGAGCTCCCGCATTCGAAAGTCTTTGAAATACGCTCGCGTCTCTGTGGTGAACACTAGCTCCCAGTCTTCACCAGAGCCGGAGTAGGCAGCCTGACCTCGGTCATTGAGTGGGATTGCGATGTTAAAGCCCAGTTGCGGAAAGTAGATAACGTTCATATCAATGTCCAGCTGCTCTGGAATCGTCGTGGCAATGTCGATGGCGACATTTTTCAGCAGACTGTTCAGACCATCATACCGATCTTTCATTCGATCAAGCTCTCGATCAAGACCCTGCTTGACGACAGTTCTACCTTGATCGTCTGAGTTGTCAATGTCGACCTACACATGTCAGTATTTGATTTGGGATAAAGAGGTAGGGGGTACCTACTATCTCTTGGATAATTCGTCCCACTCGGTAGAGTTGCGCTGCCTCGAACACTTGGAGAGCCTACACTTGTCAGCTTTCTACACCCGAGGCTCGGCACTGGGCTTTCAACCTTTGTGTGCAAGGGTAAGATGTTGGCACCTGAGACCTCCTGAAGAGTATCATGAATGTCGATCGAGTAAAAGGCAAACTAAAACGCGGTGTCAGCAGTCAATAATGTCAGCGGGCCAGAACACATACAGCCAGCAAGCTTGCCCACACGGTAGATTTGAATCCCGTCATCTTCGCACTTCCGGTACTGATTCCTTTCCGCAAATTTATCATCACCGGCCGAAGATTCTTGATATACTTTAGGGCCTTTGTAATCTTCTGCAGGGCCGCCAGATTGTCTGGCCGGGAGAAGACTCCGATAAAATCATGCCGTTGTCGGATCAAGGCAATGTCCCGACTTGGGCGGAAAAAGACTTGTTTGAGTTTCGCTTTGCCTTGACGGGTGTGTGCGAATCGGTGGAACAAGTCATATACCGAGAGACCCTCTTTTCCTGAAGCTGATTTGGTGCCGGGGCCTTGGTTGAACATGTTTGGGTGAGACTCGGATTGTATGATCTGAAGTGACAAGAACGTATTGCTACTAATCCACCTGGCCGTGAGATAGGAGTTCAGCGAGAAGTATCATTTACGCCTTCTGCCATCTCATCACTTACATGTAATCCTGAAGACCGAGCATCTCCACGGATCGAATGCTGAACACACAGTCATCCAGCGGCCCTATTCTTGTAGCTGTAGCTCGACGCCTTTGCAGATGGGTAAGAACAGCACCCGCACATCCAATCGACACGGGGTTATCCATGTCGACGGAGCTGGATACGTGCAAAAGTCTTCCTTCGTGGAGCGAGAAGCCCATATTCTCAGGGTTGACCTCCTCTGGACCATTTAGACCACTACTTGGGACGAAAAAACGGATGCGTTCCTCGTGAGACGAGGACAAATCCAAGGCGACCAAACTGTTTTGAGCGTTGGGGAAGCTGAATTCTTGGTTTGGGCGGACGTCTACCTGATATGGCAAATAAGACAAAGAATCTATAGTAGTCAGTTAGCTTCAGTCACTGTCCACATAAGAGCGGTAAAGACTACCATTGTCATGCGCCAGACTCTGCTCTCGGCCTCGTGCACTTGGAAGCTCAACTCTGGAGGACGTCAAGATGACCGTAGGTTTGATTTGAAGAATCACTAATCGAGCAGTCAGTATTTTGCAGTACCCGGTATCATTTTCATGAGATTTACAGGCATCGATTGCTTCTATCCCACCAGAGCGACTGTCTCCGAGCAGGTATAGTTTCTCCTCCTCCGCAGAGTAGTAGGCACATCCCACCGTCCCGTAATCTTTCGTGTCAATGGCTGCAATGACATGGCCCAACTCATCTTCACCAGAATCGTATTGCTCTGCTTCGTTAGCAGTATCTGTTGTCTGATAAGGGGTTCGTAGCTGTCTTGCTGCCGGTGATGCTGGTGGTGGGAACGAGCTCCTTTGTCTTGTAGAGGCGCGGCTCGCGGCCCGAGTTGCATTGCGAACCTTAGGGCCTGACACACCTGGTGTGATGGAAGGGTGTCGAAAGACAGCTGGTGAGCGGTAATTCTTCTGCGATGAACGCATCTTGTCAAATGGGGAGAGAGTGGAAGGGACGGAATGGGAGGTGGACAGGAAGACTCTAAGCGACGTTGAGCAAGTCACGTTGTCAAGCCCCAAGACATGGTAATTACAAACTACAGTAGGAGGACCATGATATACATGGCTGAGCTGCATTGCATTAATGTAATTTACAGTAGATTAGAGTTGCAATATCATACAGAATAATGACAGAAGTGAGAAACGATCTCAATGCAATATGAATCAAACCCAAAACACCAACCTCGTATGCCCTTGAATATCACCGTTGATTGTCTCCAAATTATGCCTCTTCCTGCTTTCCTTCGGTCATAACCACCAAGCCAGACTTGTCTTCATTGAGGGAGACACGAGCAGTCTGGCCAGAGGTGACCTCGCCACGGATGATCTTGTCGGCCAGCCTGTTTCCGATCTCCTTGGCGATCAACCGATTGAGAGGGCGAGCACCGAACTTGGGATCGTAGCCCTTCTCGCACAGCCAGTCTTTGATCTCGTTGTCAACCTCCAGGGTCATCCGACGGCTGTCCAGACGTCCTTGAAGCTCCTTCAGTCTGATATCCACGATATCCCGCAGTGCTTCCTTGGATAGCCGCTTGAAAATGATAAACTCGTCGATGCGGTTCAAGAATTCTGGAGGATAAGCATTTTGAACAACATCCAACACGGCCTTCTTGATGTCTGGCGAAAGCTCAGCACCACCAGTGTCCTTGTATGAGTGCAACGGGTCGGCTCCGACCAGAATTTCAGCACCAAGGTTGGAAGTCAGGACGATCAGAGTGTTCCTGAAATCCACCTTGTGGCCCTGGGCATCAGTAAGGAAGCCTTCATCAAGGACCTGCAACATCAGAGCCGAGATATCCCGATGAGCCTTTTCGAACTCATCAAATAGGAGAACAGCATAGGGCTTGCGTCGCACTGCTTCGGTGAGCTGGCCAGCATCGTCGTATCCGACATAGCCAGCTGGGGAACCGATCAGGCGGCTAATGGTATGTTTCTCCTGGAATTCGCTCATATCAAATCGCACAACTGCAGTCTCGGTCGAGAAGAGGAATTCAGCCATTTTCTTGCAGAGCTCAGTCTTACCCACACCCGTCGGGCCAAGGAACATGAATGAAGCCAATGGACGGTTCTCGCCACTAAGGCCGGCTCTCTGCATGCGCACCGCGTTGGCCACAGCAGAGAGTGCCTCGTCTTGTCCACGAACTGATTGCCGGAGGGTATCCTCCATGTGAATCAGCTTCTCGACTTCTCCTGCCATCAGTTTGGTGACGGGAATGCCAGTTGTTCGCGATACAACATTGCCAATGTCATCAGCGGTCACAGAGTCATGTATGAGGCTTTGCTTTTCAGCATCCTGCTCTGAACCCTCTTTGGGCAATTTGGCTTCCAGAGCTGGAATGGTCGAATATCTGAGTTCGCCAGCCTTTGCGAAATTCCCTTCACGCTGAGCTTGCTCGAGTTCGAAACGAGCACGTTCCAGGTCTTCCTTTGTACGCTTGATCGTATCGATCTCGGCCTTTTCCTTCTCCCAAACCTCAGTCAACTTACCAACCTCATCCTGTTTAGTCTTCAAGTCTTCCTGAAGCTTTTCGCGACGCTCGCGGCTGCTCACGTCGGTCTCTTTTCGAAGGGACTCGAGTTCGATCTGAATGGTGGTGATATCACGTTCCAGTTCGCGGATCGGATCGGGCTTGGATTCTTGCTGCAGACGAAGGGCCGATGCAGCTTCGTCGACAAGATCAATAGCCTTATCAGGGAGGAAACGGTCGGTGATATAACGGTTACTGTAGGTGGCAGCGGCGACCAAGGCACCATCGGTGATTCGGACACCGTGATGGACTTCGTATTTGTTCTTGATGCCGCGGAGGATGGAGATGGTGGAGGCAACGGACGGTTCACCGACCAAAATGGGCTGGAATCGACGAGCCAGCGCGACATCCTTCTCAATCAGTCGGTACTCATTGAGAGTTGTGGCACCACAGCATTGAAGTTCACCCCGAGACAGAGCAGGCTTGAGCAAATTGCTGGCATCGATGCTGCCCTCAGCCTTGCCCAGTCCTAGCAAGGTATGAAGTTCGTCGATGAAGAGAATGACCTTGCCTTCGGCGTCTTCCACCTCCTTCAATACGGACTTCAGACGCTCCTCGAAGTCACCGCGGAACTTGGCACCCGCGATCAGGGATCCCAAGTCGAGGCTAACCACGCGCTTGTTCTTGATGCTTTCGGGAACATCTCCTTGCACGATACGCTGGGCCAGACCTTCCAACACGGCGGTCTTACCGGTACCGGCTGCACCGATCAAGACAGGGTTGTTTTTGGTCCGTCGAGACAGAATCTGGATTGTGCGATGAATCTCGGCGTCTCTGCCGATGACTGGGTCCAGCTTTCCGGCTTTTGCCCTCTCCGTCAAATCAACACCGAATTGTTCCAGAGCAGGCTTTTCAGGCTCCGGGCTCATGTTCATGCGGTGAGTACCGCCCGGAGGGTGTGGTCGACCATTAGCATAGTGGCGAATCGAGATGGCGGGGGCAGTCCTTGCAGCGGACGTTAGAAGCGGTGCTGTAGTCCGAGAGAGTAACGCCGAGCGCGTAGTCGTAGAAAGTAGTCGGGAGGGAATAGGTAGGTTAGGTGTGCGCAGCAGCCGAGTGCGCGAGTTGAAAGCGATTCGGGTCGCCATGATTGCGATGATGTGTAGAGACGGGCAAGGACCCTGTCGGGTGGACGCTTGTCGCAGCTTTAATAGCTGCGCCGGCGGGCTCATCGCGATGCTTCTCGAAAGCTCCACCACGAAGCCTCTCAGTGGCCCCCCAGCGTCGGCAGCTCCGCAGCAACTGGACCAAGCTCCGTCACCACTTGAGTCACGTGTATGGCTAGCGCCCAATTTAAACGGGAAAAAAAAAACCTTTACCCCTCGGTCTCCCTCCCACTCTGTTTTCTTCCTCCCCCCCTTTTCCTCTCTACCAACCACCTCACCCCCAAAAATTCACATAAACCACATTCACAATGGGTTTCACCGACTTCGTCTCTGATGCCGGCCTGACTCGTAGGCATTCCCTCGCCATTTTCTCCTGAGCTCATGGACTGACTGTTGCCTCAGTGGCCAACAACTACCTGGCCACCCGCAGCTACATCGTTGGGTAAGAGATTTCCGCCCTCTGTCATTGTTTGATGGTATTTTGCTTCTTTTATTTATCTTTTGTGTTCAATCCAACCACTGTTGTGACTTGTGTATACCTTTGCTATTATGATGAGAAACAATTGGTCCGTGTTTAGGAGGCGGCTTAAGACCCCGCCGTGTGACTACATCCAATTGCGAGCAATCGCGTCTCTGATCTTTATTGCGATTTTCACAATCCGTCTTGTCATGAAATTGTCCTTGGGAACATTATATACTGACTGTTCTCAAAAGCGACGCCCCCAGCCAGGCCGATGTTGTGACCTTCAAGGCCTTCAGCGCCGCCCCCGACGCTGCCAAGTACCCCCACGTTGCCCGCTGGTACAAGCACATCGCCTCTTACGAGAGCGAGTTCTCCACCCTCCCCGGTGACTCCTCCAAGGGCTTCACTGCCTACGGCCCCGAGACCACCGAGCTCCCCTCCAACCCCAAGGACAAGCCCGAGGAGGATGAGGAGGAGGACCTCTTCGGTTCCGACTCTGAGGAGGAGGATGCCGAGGTCGTTGCTGAGCGCAACAAGCGTCTTGAGGAGTACAAGGCCAAGAAGGCCGCCAAGGGCCCCAAGCCCGCTGCTAAGTCTCTGGTGACCCTCGAGGTCAAGCCCTGGGGTATGTGTTTTCCACCGAAATTTTCATAATGGCCCGAACGAATATTAACATGCTTTGCAGACGATGAGACCGACCTCAAGGTCATGGAGGAGAACGTCCGTGCCATCGAGATGGACGGTCTCGTCTGGGGTGCCTCCAAGCTGGTCGCCGTCGGCTTCGGTATTAAGAAGCTCCAGATCAACCTGGTCGTCGAGGACGAGAAGGTCTCCACCGATGCTCTCCAGGCTCAGATCGAGGAGGATGAGGACCACGTCCAGTCCACCGACATTGCTGCCATGCAGAAGCTGTAAATGATGTCCATTCTGCGATGTGGCAATGGCGTGATGATGGAATTTTTTGATGTCTTAGGAACCCCCAAATAGTAACGAACCTAGAAACCAGTCTGATAATGGCTGGTCTGATGAAAAAATTTAAAAATTTTCACGACCCATCATTTTTCCCCCATATTTTCAACATAATCTATAAGGTGTTCTTTGGTGAGCTCGTCCTAGATGACAGCTGTAAGGTTGGCCCGTAGTGCCGCGATGGCGGGGTATGAGTTTTTTTTCTAGCAGGTTCGGGCGCGGGGCTACCCTAGGTCGGGAGATGTATGGCAGCCCTTTGGTCCGTTCCCATGGTAATTTGCGGGACATGAAGCTCATCGTCATGGGAGTTTATGATAGTTAGCGGGAGGTGCCCCTAAATCTACATCATCTAGATCTTTATCAGCTTTAGCTCATGGCTGATCTCAGCAGATCACTGTATTCCGTACGATGTAGGCCCAATATATATAGTGAGCCTGCCGTCGACTGTCGGATCTGGCAGCAGTGCTAAATAGGATGACTGGAGGCTAGGCAATCAATGTGAGGTTTGGAAAGTGCTACCATTAACTGGAGCATGCTAATTATCAGCGAGGAGTTTTATCATTACTGAAGCAGCGTAAAAATGGGTGGACTCATAGACTCGAGCTTTCCCCAGGGCCCCAGTGCACATGATTAGGTAATCACAACTCGGGATGGCGGACATCCAGAGACCCTCCGGACTTCCATGGAGAGTGATACGGGACCCCAAGTCTACAACTTCACAGCTATCCACCAGTTTTTGGACCTGTCCTGGCCTCCGAGACTTTCACACTCTATAATTGTGGGATATAAGTCCTGACTATTCTCCGGATACGTCACTGCTTCACAACAGTCCCAAATTGACCACCTCACCACCATGAGCTTCCTCTCGCGCCTGGTCACACTATTCGGCCTAGTTCTGCTGGCCCACGCGTACGTTTCTACCTACGACTAGCACCGTCTAAACTTCCATATTGAGAAAAATTCAGCTAACAAGCTGTTGAATATGCAGAGGATACTCCGCCCACGAACACACCGTGCTCTTCAGCAACGCGCGCCTCTCCTCCTCCACCGCCATCCCGCAAGATATCATTGCCGAAGTCTTGGTTGCCGTCGTCATTGTCTCCGTTGGACTGGTTCTGAGTGCGGAGAAGTTGAAGCCGATCAGCTGGCGCGACTGGGCGGGCGAGATTGAGCGGGAGGGCGGTGCTCGTAACCCGTACCTGAGCTTGGAGGAACGCCATGGGTTCTGGGATATCCGGGTAGGACATGACTCTTCCTTTTCTCCTTTTGCTACAGTCTCTTCTGTCCATTGCTCCCCGCCTTCTTGGACGGGCAATTGCACCTGATGCCAACATCACACAGTATTCTATGATGAGCGATGCTAACACGACTCTACTCGATAGGCTAAGCGCAAGGAATTTGCGGACTGGATTCGGGAAAAGGATGTGGTGAACAAGCAGTGATCATGGGGAAAGAGGTGTCATAATGCTGTGGATTTCCAGTAGCGTCGCATTTGTGTATCATAGACATTACTAGTTCTGCGAGGGAGCCTCAATCGATACTTTCCGCGTTGGGAGCTGTCGTTGCTGATCAGTATATATGGCAATTATTTATCCTCGTCCGTTTTGACCGTTTTGATGGTTATGTCCCATGATCAATGGCGTTATCGATGCAGGTTCGCTGGAATATACGGTGTATACCCCCATCAGCCTGTACTGCAACTGTTGCATCAGCCGACCTTTTCAATGGTTGAGCGGTAATCTTGCAACATTTTGAGGTGACCCGTAGATAGGCGAGACCCTCGGCGACATCTGATATTGACGGTCTGCATGTGAGTAACGGCATAACAGCTATTGCTGCAACCCGCTTCGAAATGGCTCCATTCAGCGACATCCATCGCCCTCGGTGGCAAGCATTGGCAGGAAATAAAGATCTGCCGGCAAGCAAGGATCATGCGTCGATGGCTAACGGGACGAACAACGCCTCGCAGCTCAATGCATTGCTTATTTCTTTGAGCTTTGTTCGCTTTCGTTAGCCGTAGCTTCTTGTGCGGTATGGAATGGTACTACAGAGGAGGCACGGGCATATGATAATAGGGATCTCTTTTGTAGAGAGACCACCCCCAGGGATTGTAGGACCGAGAAAGGATGGCCTTGTCTGCTACAGATTTTATACATATTGTACATATAGCTAACCTCGTTCCTGTTACAGTTTTAATCCCCTGTCTCACAAGCCAAGCACAATATACACGTTCTGCTTCGTACAGGCAGTAGGCCAAACGACGGACCGTTTCTACCACGATGCACTTAAGCTAAAACTCGTTGTGCCCTGCAGGGACTAGGAAGCGTCTGCGAAGTACCCCGTACATAGTGCATCATGAATTTCGAATCCACTAGGGGATTTATAATGTTCCAGTTTGCAACGCCTCGTCCATTTCTGAATTTGGCGAAACAGCAGGGACGGGGTTTGGCGAGGATTGTGTATCCGTTGTTGTCTTTTTCTACTGGAGCCGCGTCCGGAGAATTTGCTTTCGAGAGCATGAGCTTATCCAACATAGACGATAGAAATGTAGCGATATGATCATTATGCGGGTGAGAGGGTGGACGTAGTCTGTAAAGAGGGTCTATTGCACGGAGTTCGGAGTACTTACCGTAGTATGTTTTTCCTAGCATCTTGTCCATGTCCATGTCCCACAAGAACCATTTTAAGAGAAGGTAATAGGCCGACAAGACGGATCTTTCCCGTGAGGAGAAATCCACTCCATTCCGTGTGATCTGGTAAGGCAGGCCCAGGCCAGAGATGTGTTCCGAGCACTGATTACGATTTCTCACGACTGTTACTATTCTTGTTGATTTGGACCCGTGGATGCGATGAGGTGTAGGTTCGGTACCGGAGGGGACCTTGCATATGTACGGCGTGCGTTTTAGTTTTGGGGCTATGTACTCCGTACTGTCCATCAAAGCACAGTCCAAGGTTTTCTCGGGTACGAACCAAAACACAATAAGAGCAAAAATGGCACCATTGCGAAGTGAACACCGAAGCGATGCATCCTAGGTGCATGCCTGACTCCTCCCTATTATTTCGTCACGGCTCATGACTCTCACCATCGCCACTTCGAGTGTAGGAATAGGAAACTAATCATAGCCGGTAAAGTGATGTCTCACCTTGTCGGGCGATCCGCGTCCTAAGCTAGTCTTAGTGTTGCTTTCTTGGCGGTCTCACCCGATACGCCACGTCGAACGGCACCGCTGCCTTGGAAACGGCAAGCCATTGGGGAAACCAGGTCCGAGAGTGACGGGAATCGTGCGAAAAAGCAACCTTGCCATTAGAATGAAAAACAGAGAGAAAGATAAAAAGTCAAATCAATGAAATGGTGGTAACCAGGAAGTTTGGTTGCTCTTATGACTGGGTAAGCCCTACAAGACTGCGTTGGCCGCAACGCGGTCCGCTAAGGGAAAGGATCGATCCGCCTGTTTGTCTTTCCCCCAGGCGTGGATTTTGGTGCTACCGAGTGGACTCGATGGAGACTTTCGGCGCGAGGCGCCGAAGTGTACGGAGTACCGAAGATAGTCTCCATCCACATTCGAGAGGGTAGACATTCGCGAGGGGTTTGTAGCTTGGAACCATGGATTCTACCGTACATGCAGTACAGTACGGAGTGCGGAGTACTCGAGGCTGTTTTATTCAAGGAGTGCTTCGGCATACATCCTATGCTTGCTATGCTTATGATCTCTCGACTTCCTACATCCCCTCCTATCACTCTTTTGTATGACCGTACTCCCAATTCTACTAGCAATAATAGACACGTATCATCCCTGCTCCTCTTCAGGGGGAAAGAAGCAAAGACGGGATGCTCCGACGACGGCCCTGGAGCTGGGCCCTCTCTTAATTAAATTCCCATCAATTGACCAAATACTTGTTTCGTATGATATGGCCACGCCCTGTACGTAGGAGGCTCCGAGTGGCCGTGCGTTGCAATAAAATGAGAGGGTGTGTGGATCCGCTGGGACACTAAACGTGAGAACAAGACCAATTCTCAGACAACGAGACTGGATTTTCAATCAATTAGCTCCGGTGGCAATCGTGGATAGCTTCGAAGCAGCATTGGAAGTATTTCCAGTTCGAGATCATCATAGCAATAACGATGGATTGTACCGTACGTAAAGAGGTCAACCAAAACAGCTTACGACAGCGTTGCTGCACAGCAGCCAGCCGGTGTGACCCCAGAGACTCACTAAAATAGAAACCGTCGCTCGACCTTGCAGATCCAACGCCGCTAAAATCGATTCCTGCCCAGACGGACCCACTCTTGTCGACGATTTTCTCCTCTTTTCCAATCATTTCCACTTAATTCCTCCGTGTTCGGTGGCCCTATTGGCTGGCATTCAGCCCTGATGGCTGAGGATGGCTGATGGCGTGTCAGTGCTTGTGAACGGAGCTCAACTCGAGTAGGGTCCAAACAGATATAAGACAAGCGTCCCTACTACCCCCCGTCTGCCCGGTTTCCAGTGTATCTTTTGTTTGTTTCCCTAGACAACCAGCCTCTTTAATTAATATCCCGCCGACGCTCGCTTTGCTCGCCGTGACTTTCGTTTCTTCTCTTCACCTCCATATCTCCATAACATCTCCAAGTAATTTTTTACTCCAACTCAACAGAACACAATCAAAATGCGTGCCTCCTTCATCGTCGCCTCCCTCTCGGCCCTGGCTATGGGTGCCACCGCCGCTGACTCCAGCTCCAGCTCTAGCGAGGTACGTATGATTCCATCCTATGAACCCAGGATTGATCACTGGAAACGCCTTGCCCAACAAACCCACTAATACTTATGACAATAGGGCAACCCTGCCACCCAGTACCTGACCGAGACCAACTCCCTGGGTGTTGTCACCGGCCAGCCCTCCGTCGTCACCTCTCAGCCTGCTGTTGTTACCAGCCAGCCCTCCGTCGTGACCTCCCAAGAGGCCGCTGCTTCCATCCCCGCTGGCCTGTCGTCCCCCGTGGTTACTCCTGCCACCAACAGCGCCTCTGCTAGCGGCAGCTCTTCTGCCTCCAAGAGCGGCTTCACCTCTTCTGCCAAGACCACTGGCACCACTACTGAAACCACCACTGGCACTACCACTGGCACCAGCACCTCCACCGAGACTGGCTCGTCTTCCTCTTCCTCTGGCTCCTCCTCCAGCACTGCCTCCAGCTCCTCCTCCACCGGTGGTGCTGCCATGGCTACCGCTGGATCCATGGGTCTGGCCGGTCTGGCTGCCCTGGCTGCTTTCGCTCTGTAAGCAGCTTAAACAAGCTCACTACGGTTGTGACTCTTTGATCCCCTCCTGGTGCTGAGAATCCAATCCATGCAAATACTTTGACCTGGATTCAACGCTCAGCGAGGAGAGAAAAGTGTCATCAATAACATGCGGTCTGCCAATTCTTTCCAAGATCTGGCAGTACACGGGACGAGGGACATGAATATGCTAGCAAGGTTTTTTGGTTTCTTACTGTTTCTGCTTCGTGCTTAATATTTGGGGATCTATGTAATTTGGCCCATCTCATTCGGGGACCAACATGTATCTGCTTTTTTCTGCTTCACCAATCGGACAGCATACCCATGGCGCATCCGTTTCCCCCATTAATATTACATTACTTTATTTCACATCTTTCTCTGGTCATGATTAGCTAGGATAACTTTTTCGGTAAGATATAAGGTCGGACAGACTGACAACCCGTTGAATACTTGATCTTCGATGTTCTTTCTCAATAAGTAATACCGTTACGTCGCTGTGCTAAGGCGTCAACTATTAACGAATACCAATGGTGAAATACGTGCTGCCCCATTCGCCCAAAGTCTTTGTATGTATGGAGCTACGAACCTCAATTTACTCCAGCCAATGGTCTTTCCTACACACTTGATGGGACTGACTGTAAGTCTCTCATAAACAAGGTTACTATACCCGGGACTTTTGACTAGATGCAATAGCTTTCGAAGACCTGGTCTTATTTACTATATTGAGATGCAAAATTCCCTCTGTAGATAGGATACTTTCTGTGTTGCCTCTTTTTGTAAATTAGATAACCACCATGTTTCTAAGGGCGTCCAGGCTATCCCCACTGAGTGTATATCCGTACAGGCCATTAACTCAGGGGGGTAAATCGTACGAGTCACAATTGACCCTACTGATCGTCCAATGGCCTCTCAGGGACCGCACAGGGATCACTTACGACCCACCTACTGATCCCTTAGGGTACGTATCAGTGGGCGGACCACCATATCGTGAGAGAGGCAAGGTCGGAATCAAAATCTAGTTCATCGTTCTGCCCTGATCTTTACATCGCTGTAATACTGGATAGTACCCAAGCGATTCCATTGACGGAAGTGGCTACTTCACAGAATCGCGTGTCATGATTATGAAGATACGGTATCAAGGTGTAGCCCTTGAAGTGCCAGGGGTAATCAGTGGAAGGCTGTCTTCATATAAGTCCCTTACTCGCGGATGCAAATTCGCTGAAAGGCAAATCAGCGTTGTCTTGGCCTCTTCTGGGCCGCGGAAGCTTTTCAAGCATGGTCAAATATGGTATTAGTGAGAGTGAATGGTATAATTTACGCGACCTGGAGTGTAGGCTGCCCAAGCTTCGCCAAGACGCATGGGAGAATATCGAAGATGATTGTTTATAGTTGCAGATACTCTCGAATGGAGTTGCTTTATAGTTTTGGCTTATGACCACACATAGTCAGCTCGTACCGCTAAATGGGCCCCATATTATCAGTTGGTTTTCCGTCTATCTAGAAGCCTGCATATCGTGACCAGACGAAGAGTCTAGCTGGATAAGCTCTACTTTATTTTGGAATCTTCTTTGGAATACATTCAAGGAACCCCTCTCAAGTTTAATTGAAGTAGACTGTTATACAATGTTAAGCTCCACGATGGACACGAAGATACCTAATCGGGAAATGTAATTAGTTGACGCGCTCGCGTCACAACGCGTCACCGCCCTCACCGCTTCGGGATTAGCGGATCCAAACAACCCGTCGACGAAGTAACCAACTGTTTTGCTTTGCTCTAAGCTAACTCCTCCATCATCACCATCACAACCTGCCATCATGGTAAGTCCCCGACCTGGAATTTCATTCATCCTGGCGACAGTGAATGATCAAGAGTGCACATAAGGCTTCATAGTACTGACACTATGTCGCAGGTCTCCAAGCTGCGCCGGCTGGCTGCCGACCATGCCGCCCTCCATGGTGATAGGCTTCCCCCGTACTACCTCTTCCCACCGGGTGACGGGCGCTTCGCGGCTGCGGATGACTTGTCTCAATTGAATGTGCTCATCACGGGCCCACCAGGCACTCCGTATGCGGATGGCCTGTGGCGTTTGCATTTGAAGATGCCGGAGGATTATCCCAATAGTCCACCCAAGGCTACCTTCCGCACCAAAATCTGGCACCCGAATGTGGAGGAGCACACGGGCGCAGTCTGTGTGGATACTCTCAAGAGGGACTGGCAGTCTAAACTGACTCTGCGCGACGTTCTCGTTGTAAGTTCTGCAATCTCAAACGTCCCACCTTTCCACTAGGTTTCCCCCAAATCAGGTATAATGTTCTGATCGCTCTAACTAACCCGTCTTCCCATGCGTCATAGACTATCTCCTGCCTTCTCATTCACCCCAACCCGGACTCTGCCCTCAATGCAACTGCTGGAACTCTCCTGCGAGAGGACTACCATGCATTTGCCCACCAAGCCAAGTTGAGGACCTCGATTCATGCGCCGATACCAGCTACTCTGCAGAGTGCTGTGAAGGAAGCCGAGCATCGAGGCGATGATCCTGGCTCGATTCCCGCAGACACGGACGATTCGCAAAACCCTCGCCCAAGAAAACAGCCCCGTCTGCAATCAAGCATCCCCAAGAAGACAGTCCACAAAATGAACCCGCCCGATAGCCATCGGCCACACGCTGTCGCTGAGCCTTCTCAGTCTACTCTGCCAGAGAACAACGAGAACGATGATGCTATGGTTGACAGCGACAATGAGAGCCTTGCTAATTCATGCAAAGAGAACGACCCCTCTCTCTCCCCCTCCCCGGTCGACACCCCACCTCTCAGCCCACGCAAGAACGCACTTGGCAAGCGCCCACTCTCTATCATCTCCACATCGTACCCCGACGACCCTGATGCAGATTTGATGGCCGTCGACTCCGACTCTGAGGAAGAGCCTCCTCAGATGTCTCCCTCGGACCAGAACATTACCGCTAATTTCATCCATTCGCGGCAATCTCCCTCGCCGCAGCGCAAGTCCTCTAAGCTCACCTTGAGCAAGGGAAGCAACACCCCTTTACGCTTGCGGGAGGATGTACAAATCTACGAGGACGTCCCGGACCGGACTCGATACAATGGAAAGGAGAACCGTGGCTCTGGCTTTGTGGGCCTGAAGGAGAGACCCGACATGCAAGCTGCGACACCGGGAAATAGCATCAACTCCCTGACTCCGGGACAGAACCCGACTTTGCCCGCCCCCTTGACCTCTCCCTCGAAGGGCAAACAGCCTTCCAAGGTCACCAAAAAGGTCGGCGGAGGTGTACGCAAGGCTGCCGGGACCAAGCCAAAGGCCCGGATTGGAGTACGCAGACTGTAACTGGTCTCGTCACTACAACTTCTCCGTTTCACTTGCTTTTTGAACTTTCCGCATTTGGGTTTCCAATTGCGTGATGCCATATGATACCCCCTACTGTACGATTGATAGAAACGGAGTAATTGGAGTTTGCGAATATGGGGGAACGCAATTTACCGAATTTTTGATTTAAGAGATATTGACTGCAATTTACTTCCTTCTTCTGGGTACTTTGAAGTTGGCCCAACTCGTGTCCGAGCACCCCGCAATATATAGTAACAATGTGACCTTTCAGGTCTCTCTAAGCCATTTGGCTACAACATTGTATATTGAGTGGAATTAACTACTTAATCTTTTATTTCTCACAACTTCTCCTAGTCCTCAATTGAGTTCTAGGACCTGAGTTGTGCTATGAAATCCAAGGATTCTCAAAAACCTGGACCTGCCCACATTGTCAAACCTCTGTTTCGCTTTCTAATATTTGAGCAAAATGGCGTTCGCAAACCTCGGTGGCCTATCGGTGCTACCACTACCCGAGTCTCTCGCGCTAGCCTATAACGAAGACCCATTTCCCAAAAAGGTCAACCTTGGACAAGGCGTCTACCGTGACAACGATTGCCAGCCATAGGTTTTACCCCAGCGCTAGAAATGTATTATCACCGCCACTATAAATCAACACAATCCACCTATCTTATACTTTCTCCCTATCTCGGGCCGAAGAAACCCTACACAACCAGCAGGTCAACCACGAATACCTCCCCATAGCCGGAGACTGCAAGTTCCTTACCAAAGCCCGCGAACCCGTCTTCGGTCCTACCTTCGCCCGAAGAATATCTTTATTTCTGACCCGACATGGGATCATCACCATTTGATCTGGAAATTGGTTGCGTTGAAGGTCATCCAAAAAGCTCCATCCGTATCATGAGTCTTCAACCCGGGGACTCGATCTGGAGGGAATAGTTGCTGCGTTGGAGAGTTCGGCGGAGGAGAAGGATGTCGTAATATTGCATGCTTGTGCACATAACCTTACTGGACGTCATCCGGCACAGGAACAGTGGAAGAAGATCGCCGAGGGTGTCGGACGCAAGAAGCTCTGTTGGTCTTTGACTGCGCGTATCAGGGGTTCCGCAGTAGAGGATACCGATGCCGATGCAGGGGCAATCCGATACTTCTACTTTATGTTCTTTACGGTACTCCATTATCGATCTCACCCGAGAGAGCCAAAGCCCACCTGGTCCAATTAGTTCGCGCCGAGTCCTCGGGTCCTTCTGTCTTTGGCGCACGGATTGTGCAAACAGGTTTGGACGATACTGAGCTCTACTTGAGGTGGCAAAAAGATGTACGAATGATGGCGTTTAGGATCACGGTGTCAGGGCATTAATAAAGTCGGAACTGGAAAGCTTGGTGCTCGGGGAGACTGGAGTCATGTTGAGCAGCAGATCTGTATGTTCAGCTTTACTGGGCTTTCCAGTGCACACAAGTGCAGAGGCTGAAGGACAAGCACCATATCTACTTGTCGAGTAATGGGCGTATGAGTTTGAGTGAATTGAACGAGAGCAATGTAGCGAATCTTGCTCACGTCATTAGAATCGTGTGGTGAGACAGTCGGCATGAAGATTCAACATGGTTGAATTGCTAGCTCGTGGCCTGGGGATCATGATAGATATAGACAAGAATTCTCAATC